TGGTCTTTCCTCTGTATGTGTCTTTGTCTTACTCTCCTTTTAAGACACCATTTATGTCTTATGAGGACACCATTTTTATTGGAATAGTGTCCACCCTACTGACCTCATTTTAACCTAATTACCTCTTTAAAGGCCCTGTCTTAAAGGACAGTCATATTCTGAAGCACTAGGGGTTAAGATTTCAACATATGAAGTTTGGGGAGACATAATTCAGCCTAGAACAGGTGAAAACTTCAAAATATTACATATAAAGAAGTTAATAACAGTGATTGGCCCCATGGCAGGATGGGAAGCCTGGGAGATCAGAGGAAGAGTTACCTTTCATTGTATACTTTGTATCATTTGAATTTTGTTACTGCATATATTTAATACCTAGTCCTATAGAGTAAAAGCCTCGCCTGATGTCATCACAAGATGGCCACCACAAGATGGCTGGTAGGGGAGGGCAGTTGGGGGCCATCAGGCTGGCAGAGGAGGGCAGTTGGGGGCTATCGGGCCAGCAGGGGAGGGTAGTTGGGGGCGATCGGGCCAGCAGGGGAGCAGTTAAGCATCGATTAGGCCAGCGGGGGAGTGGTTAGGGGGCAATCAGGCTGGCAGAAGCGGTCAGGGGGGAATCAGGCAGGCAGGCAGGCCAGCAGTTGGGAGCCAGCAGTCCCGGATTGTGAGAGGGATGTCTGACGCCGGCAGTCAGACATCCCCTGAGGGGTCGCAGATTGGAGAGGGTGCAGGCCGGGCGAGGGACACCACCCCCTCTCCGTGCACAAATTTTGTGCACCAGCCCTCTAGTCAAGCATAAAAGGAAATGATTGCATGTCTATTGCCCATCCTTGAACTTAACGAATATCTAGTGAATAAAATGAGCAGAAACACAGTGTAACAGTTTACTGTGCCTTTGGGACATGGATCTGGCGTCCCTGCTTAGTACAGGAATGGTGTCTGCCTAGCTCAGTGGCGGCAAACTCATTAGTCAACAGAGCCAAATATCAACAGTACAACGACTGAAATTTCTTTTGAGAGCCAAATTTTTTAAACTTAAACTATATAGGTAGGTACATTGTCATTAACTTAATTAGGGTACTCCTAAGGCTTAGGAAGAGCCACACTCAAGGGGCCAAAGAGCCGCATGTGGCTTGCGAGCCGCAGTTTGCTGACCACGGGCCTAGCTGTTCCTTGTGTAACTTATTTTGAAAAACCTAGTCTCTCCCCAGTTAATTGCAAATCCACCAGGCCCAGACAAGGATCGCCTCACCTTTTTATCCTGGGACCTGGCACAGAGGTGGCACTCAGATACCTGCTGTGTGAATGAATGAATCCATCGATGATTCCCATGAGTGGAGAAGTTTGGGAATGAGCTCTTTCTGCTGTGGTCTTCCCATAGCAAGTGGCAGGGAGGGCAGTGCATGGGGGAGTGGTCTATGTTTTTAATAATTTAGTAAGCTAAATCATGACCAAAGTTTCAAGAAGAAACCGCGTACTCTAATCTGCCCTCTTTTTTTGTCATTTGTAAAGGAAAAGAATCGGCCTTCTTTTGGGCTCTTTTTAAACAATCTTAAGTCTCTCAACACTATATGCTGTTCTATATTTTGAAAAGAGAGGTAGTTATGAGGCAATGGAATGCACCCTAACAGGCTTCTTTCGCAAATCCACCAACCCAAGTTCCCTTTTCTGTCTCTCAGTTTAACTCCAATGCCCACCTTCTTCCCTAACACTGCCTCTCACCTTTTGTTGATTTAGGTCTGGGGTTTTCATGGCCTCTCTGATTTTCCTCAGAGAGTGCTAGACCACCTTTTAGCTCCTTTCTGAGAGTCTGTAAGAGGGACAGAAAATGTGGCTTGTTACTGTCCCCTCAGGGGCACGTTGGGAGCTCAACTGGGTCCTGAAGATATTTCAGCGCTTGGGAAAACCAGGTCATGTTGAAATCAGAGAGTTCAGATCATGCTGAGTGTGACTGTTAATTGGAATGAATGAATGGATTATGAGATTGGCCCCACTGACTCTCATGCTAGCAGGCAGTTCTCCCAAGAAGCGGACGGAGCAGGCTTGGGCACGTGGGAGTGCAGGCCTGCCTTTCTGTGGCATTTGGTACGAAGCACACCAACAATTTGTGGTGCTCTCTCCACACAGCAGCTTCCTGCTGGGTCTGGAGGCCCCCTCCAGACCTACCTCCATTTGGCTTCATCCAAACTGGGAGGCGACCAGATGCCTGCGTCACTGGGGACCCCCAGAAGCAGCATGTTTTTGCTGAAAGCTGCAACATGTTTCTGCTCTTAAGAGTAAGCGGCAATGTATCACATTCTTAGCGTTCGAATTAATGAAAGGTGGCGAAAGGTGAATGCCATCTGCCCTTACCTGTGAGAGACAGGGGTTGAGGACAGACTTATGCACCATGGTTCTCATCACAGCGGCTTTCCTTTGCTAGATTAACCCATTGGGATGTTTGCACATTTCCCCAACAGGAATGACAGATCAGCAAAAGGGAATTCTCCATGAGTCCTTTTAAAACGGCATTTGTAAACACCAAAATTAAGGTCAGAAGAAGGGGAGTTTAGGACAAAAGAAAATTAAAAGTGAATAACTGACATTCTTTTTTTAAATATATTTTTTATTGATTTCAGAGAGGAAAGGAGAGGGAGAGAGAGAGAGAGAGAGAGAGAGAGAGAGAGAGAAACATCAATGATGAGAGAGAATCATTGATTAGCTGCCTCCTCACACCCCATACTGGGGATGGAGCCTGCAACCTGGGCATGTGCCCTTGACTGTAATCGAACACAGGACCCTTCATTCTGTAGACCAACACTATATCCACTGAGCCAAACCAGTTAGGGCAGTGGTTGGCAAACTCATTAGTCAACAGAGCCAAATATCAACAGTACAGCGATTGAAATTTCTTTTGAGAGATAAATTTTTTAAACTTAAACTATATAGGTAGGTACATTGTTATTAACTTAATTAGGGTACTCCTAAGGCTTAGGAAGAGCCACACTCAAGGGGCCAAAGAGCCGCATGTGGCTCATGAGCCGCAGTTTGCCAACCACGGAGTTAGGGCAATATCTGACATTCTTACAGCTAATATAATCAAGTTAGAAAATGTGTGGTCAGACTCTACAACTTGCTTGAGGGCAAGAACCAAGTGTTTATCATTTGCCATCATCTTCTGGTGTCTAACAAACTGAGTCCTCTACACATTTTAATTCAACAGAATCCCTTTATCTGTGTCCTCTGTTCAGAGCCAAGTCACCTGAGGCCCCAGGTGGAATCTCTGGGACAGCCTTCACTTTGGGGAAATGTTAGATGCTGTGATTGATGGCAATGACACTTCAGGCACTAAAGTAAAGTTTCGAAAGAATCAAGAAACCTATCATAGTTGGCTTCCATGCTTACTTATAATCAGGGGAGAGTGGCCGGCTCCGGGAAGTCTATTGCATTGGCTACTGAGGGGAATTCAGAATCAAATTAGAAAAATCCTTGAAAAGAAATGGCCAATGCTAATGCTCATTTAGCATGGATCAATTGTACCACTCGCACAGGCCTTGTGGTATTTGGTACAAGTAAAATACAGGGTGGGGCAAAAATAGATTTTCAGTTGTGAGTACTCAAATATTCTTGTACTAATATGTATTATATATTTTTCTATATGAACAACTGTAAACCTACTTTTGCCCCATCCTGTATATCTCATCTGATAGAATTCTGGAAAAATGATGATCCATTTAAAAATAGCTTATCATTGTAGGCTTTATCTCACAGAATCGGGCATGACTATTAAAAAGAACATGTCTGAAAAAGAGTCCAATGGGATTAAGTCTTTTTATTGTTTTATTTTAAATATGTTTTTAGTGATTTTGAGAGGAAGGAAGAGGAATAGAGAGAAACATCATTCAGCTGCCTCCTGTATGCCCTCTACTGGGGATCGAGCCTGCAACCCGGGCATGTGCTGATTAAGTTTTCTTAAAAAAGAAGACAATCAGTAGTAAAAAATGTGGTAGGGAGCATGATCCAGGATTGCATGTGTTACTGAAAGTAAGGAATATGGTGATTAAACTAAAAGGGTAGAAATACAACAAGTATTGGATCGATTCACAATGGAAATACTGTTCAAATGGTGTGGAAGGTCGATTGGACTCAATTCTGGGGTTTCAGTTTTGTGGACAGGTTTCTCACGTTTTTGAATGATAGTCACCTAGCAAATCTTTTTTATTTATCCTGGTCATCAGTTACTGTAGAATAAGGAAGATGATGTGGATTCTATAATGTCAAGAATTGACCAGCCAGCTTCATGCCCAAAGCTATCAAACCTGGTTCTTAGAATCCACGTTTGCAAGTCTGGCTCTTTGTTTAGAAAAAGAAAAAATAAATCAATAGGGAGACACTTCCCCATCCCCAGTGAAGACTAATGGGCATCAGTCTACTACTTAGTATCTTGTTGAGAAATTTGTGAACAACTGAAAGCGTTTATCTGACCAGCTGTGAATTTAGCACCCAGGGTTTGATTCTTAAAGTGAGGGGAATAACTTGGAAATTGTGAGTTTCCCTTTACTCTGTCACCACACAAAATCAACCATCGCAACCACATCTGAGTAAGAGGGAGAGGCCTCTGCTCAACAAAGTTAACATCTTTCTATTTCTTCCTTTCCCTTCCCATAAACACACTCTGGCCTACTTTATCCCAGCACAAAGCAGATGCACTGCAAATGTTAGCTGAGTCTGGTCCTACTAATAACCATGGTGGGAAGTCCAGGCGAAGAATGTGTTGTTTTCACTAATACTGCTCTTCCAATCTCAGACGATAAAGTGTCAGCTAATGACCCCCTGGGTCCTGGGCTTTCCCTGGGGCCTGCTTAAATACACAAAACCCAAGTGAAGGCAGGACACCATTAGCACTACATAATTCAAGCAAACAAATGTGTTTACACTGCCTGGCTACTGACCACCTGCCTTCCCATCCTACAAGGCAGGTATCTATATATGGGATCTGATCTCCTTGTTCACAGTCCCGGGGAGGGAGCCTCTCCTTTGGGCCTCGCCATCTGTGAGTCTGAAAGAAGCTTGGGCCCCGACATCATGCATCTCCTCTTACTTCAGCTGCTGGTGCTCCCGCCACTGGGGAAGGCTGCGTGGCCCCAGGATGGCGGCCAGAGTCAGAGTTCTGTTCCCCCTGTGCTCCTACTAGAGAGGAGTCCCAGAGAGCTTCCCCTGGGCAACCACGGGGAGGCTGAGGAGAAGCCAGATCTGTTCGTAGCCGTGCCACACCTGGTAGGTGCCAGCATTTCGGGGGGAGGCCGGTGGCAGAGAGAGAAGATGCTATTCAGGTTTGGCAGGTTCTGGAAGAAGCCTGAGAGAGAACTGCACCCAACCCAGGACCCCGTCAGTGAGCAAGGCCCACCTGGGACCCAGGCCCTTCCTCAGTCCAAGGCTGGGATGCAGATAAAGAAGTCTCCTCTTCAGGAAGAAGCCAAGAGATTCTGGCACCGCTTCATGTTCAGAATGAGTCCGGCTTCTCAGGGGGTCATCCTCCCCATCAAGAGCCACGAGGTGCACCAGGAGACCTGTAGGACCCTGCCTTTCAGCCAGGTATCTGCTCTGGGGGGAGAGGGGATCAGGGTGTGCAGGACGCGGGTGGGCAATTGGGGCAGATGGGGAGGAGGGGAAGAGGAGCTAGTCTTACCCAACTCCCAGACTTGGTCCTTGGCCATACATCCTGGGATTTGGCAAAGTATGGTCATATTTCCTAAATTTCCTTCGAAACTTTCCATTGTTTCTTGGTATTCTGCAGACGCTGCAGGAATCGTTCGATTGTCCTGCCAATATTAGGAATCATTCATATTGATGGCATAGAGTGTTGTTTTATGTGGCTTTATTTCTTTATTTTTACAAGGAGGATGGTCTTCCCAGAGAGATAAGACTGCACCCTCAGTTAGGAAACTGGGGATTTAGAGCTATCACCAGAGTTCTCTCTAGTTATATCTCTACATTCTATTAGAATGTGGGTGATCAGGTCAGCTCCATCTGTGGATAAGGTGGAATACATTGGTCTCGTCCCCAAACACTCTCATGCCCATTGATGGTTTTAATCCCTGTATTTCACATGTAACTACTTCATAGGTCTATAAGATATGTTGAGGTTGTCAGGCATAAGTTACCATATCATTTCTAGTATTACCATAGCAAAAATGATTTAACTTCACTTATTTTCTCGTAACCTTTTAAAAAATAATCTCAATGTGAAATTACATTTTCTCCCCTTAGTAACACCCATCTCCTCATTGATGTTGTGTTGATTGATTTGTAGTTATCATGATTGATTGATCCCATACTAATAAGACAAAGGGGCATTCTACTCTCTACTTCTTCCAGTCAGTCCTGACAACCTCCATACTCCAAATGTTAAATTTAAATTGAGAAATTGCATCAGGTCCTTTATGTTTATAAAGATACTGAACCAAAAGCAATGCAGGGTAAAGTTTTACAGCCCAATAATGTTGCCTAATTAAGCAGGCAGTACTATAAGGTAATTGGGTGTGCAAGGCAGTTAAGTATTCTGCCTAAAACGGTAAGGGTATGTAGCAATAGCAAGTAAACCCTCAAATAATACTGACTGCTTTGTTGGTCATGTGTAATTAGAAAACTGTTCCTAAGAATTGCGTAATCAAATTTTCTTTGAAACTTTTATTTTAAATTCTATTGCTGATTAAATTCAAATTAAGGTGTTTTACTCTTGCATATTTTGAAGGCCACATAAAGCTAGGGGTCTGGGGTTACAGGAGAGGCAAAGGTGATGTCATGCATGATGATTTGCAAGCATATGTGTTGCAACTTCAAGGACTTGAATGTGCTATAGGCACTGCAGAATGGGATAGAATTAGACTCATGATATTCTGATCTAGTCTATGAGCAATTGAACAACATGTATTGAGAACCTATTATGCAAAATGCTCAGTGAGGAATAGAAAGGCAAGACACATTCCTTACTTAAGAAGCCAACTGCTAGAATATTTTTTACTGGTAACATCCAATTAGACAGAATTTCTTAAAGTTTGGCTTTTAAAAAATAGAGTAACATATTTTCATGTCAACTTAGGGATTTCTTACAGGCTAATTTATTATATTACTCAATAGAGTAAATATTTAGTTGAGGTAGCTTTTTGCCCTTATCGATACGATTACTTGGATTTTGGCAAACATCCAAAATTAGAAAGATTTTAAAATTTTAGTCTAGCTTATCCTCAGACCTGCAGTCTATAGCACCTGCATCCTGTGTGTTAATGAAATGACACAAGATGATTTAATAGAGATGTGTTTGCCTTTTAGACGGTCACCCATGAAGACTGTGAGGAAGTGGTTGTACAGAACAACCTTTGTTTTGGGAAATGCGGGTCTGCTCATTTTCCTGGAGCGGCACAGCACCCCCATACCTTCTGCTTCCACTGCTCGCCCGCCAGGTTCACCACAATGCACTTGCCGCTGAACTGCTCAGGTCTCGCCCCCGTGGTCAAGGTGGTGATGCTGGTGGAGGAGTGCCAATGCAAGGTGAAGGAGGAACACCACGAGCATGGACACCTCCTACAGGCAGGCTCCCAGGCAGAATTCCATGCCCAGGAGCCCTTTATCCCAGGGGTTTCAACTTAGAAAGCTATCCCACTATTACCTAGAACAGCAAAACCACAATAGCCAAGTTGCTGATGATTCAGTCTGGAAATATTCAGTGGGTACATAATCTTTCAACTGAAAGGTGGTTTAAAAAGTAGTAAGATAGAACAATTTGGAGGAAATGTTATTCATCTGGTTATCAGTACGCAAATGGTATCTAGTTTTGACTCTGCTGCTTACTAGCCATGGAATGTTAAGTTGTGGAAGCTTTCTCCACCTGGAGCTGTTCATCTATAAATGAGGGACTTGAACTAGATGATTCTAAAGTCCTTTTCACTACTAATATTTCAATAATGACCTACTGTCTCCACGTTTTGCTAAAATCCCTCCCTCTGAAGGAGGCAAAGAAATAAACTAGATCATAAAACTAGGCTTCTTTAATAGCTCGTGAAAGCACCAGCAAATGTATATATACCTAACATTCACAGGAGGACTCCTCATATTTATAGCTGCCTTTGCATTTCAGGCAGTAGTTTATTTGACTTCTATCGGATGATTAAGTCGTTCCACAGATGTAAGGAGTAACTTGTTTGGTTGCCTGCCTATTTTTGATACTCCCCATATAAAGTTCTCTGGTTTTGAAGAGGAACATTGATGTTACTTTTAGTGCTTTCCACGGAGATGAGGAACAATCATGGGTAGCCAAACAAGTACCTATTTTATGGGGAAGGAAAAATAGGTAAATCCAGAATTAAAGGTCAATCCAGAGATGCTAATGAATGTAACCAAGAAATTCCAGTAGATGTCGAATTAAATAAATGGCAAATGATTTAGAATGGAAACAAATCTATAAGTGAAATCCTTTATCCACATGCATTTTGGATTAAAGAGTAAGGGTTCAGTGTTTGGATGACTGTTTTTTGCTACTGTATAAAACTTTGTATTACAAATCTTATTCTCCAAATGCCACAATTGCAAGTTCTGAAAATATTCAGAATATTTTAGTGTATTAAATTTTAGTGTATGAAGCATTCTGGGAAATGTCATGACATTCAATTGCCTTATATTATGTCCTATTTGTTTTGTCTGTTCCTAATTTGAAGGCACTATCTGGAGATTATCTAGCTAGAAACAATTTGGAAATGGCTTTCAAGGCTAATGACAATGGCTTTTTCTGACACTTCAAACAGCTTTCTGTGAAGGTCCTTCAACCACTGTCTTCTGCGGTTACATTTGTTCTTCTGCATTTGTTACTTTATATGGATGTAGTATGCAGAACTGGCTTTCTCTAGCCATCTTTCCTTTTCTATAATCATTCTTTAACAATTTACCTTAGACATTATTTTAATTATTTGGATCCCTTCATTTTCAGTATGCACATAAAAAAGTGTTTCCCAGAATAATGATTATTTTCTTTTAAAAAAGAAATCAATGCATATTTTAATTCTATTCCTCTTTGCTCACACTGTCCTGGTGTTCTGAAGAAGTGAATGCATTTATATTTAGTGTATATTCTACAACACATCAATATAATAAAATATGTGCTACACAGATACACATGTGGCATTTACATTGGAATATATTTTACCCTTTTAGCCAAAGACAATCCAATTGACCAAGATATGGTCATACGAATAGAACTGTTAAGCGTTAATGATATCCCAGCTGGTCAATATATTTTGGTGCCAAAAGCTTTTGAGCAGCTGTCTGGTTTGCAGTTGCCTAACCCTGATTGTGTAAACCTATCTCTGCCAATTGGACTATCCTTCTCCTCCTCACACATTTGCAAATCCCTTTTATCTATCCTTGCAAATCAACTCTCTAGCCCAAGCCCCAAACAGTCATCAGCTTTATTTAAACTCTAGTCTGCCTTTCCCTCACATGTGAATCCAAGATGAGATGGCTGATAGTGGTATCAGAGCTTACATTTATAGAGTAACAGCATGAAACTCATAAAGTTGCCCGTATTCAATCATTTCACTTACAAAAAAGGGCAATTTCCAATGGTTCCACATAATATATGGGAACACAGGAAAACAAGAGGAAACACACAAATATCGAACATCTAATTAAGTGCCAGATACCGACCGTGCTGGGTCATAAACATACAAATTATACATTCCTCACAAAATCTATCTATTTGATAGGTGAGGAAAATAAGCCTTAAAATTTTTAAGCAACTTGGAGTATATTTTCTACTTGTATTAAAATATTTGCTCATTCATTGTCCATCAATTTATATTTAACTCTTCTAGGTCTCATGACTATAAGTCTCAAAGCTAATTTCTTTTTACCTCTTTCCTAGCTCTCATGATTAAAGGACATTAATATTACCTCTTGAAAAGGAAATCATGCTTAGGTCTAGTCCTCGGACAAACCTTGACCTGACTTGAGAGGTGGTCATGGCAAGCCCACTCATCAATTCTTGTCTCATTTTTCTCCTGATTAAAATAAGGCAAATAATGATTTCTTCAAAATTATTGTGATGACCAAGTGTAACTCATAGCACATTAGAGAGCTTTACATCCTGTATAACTACAAGAAATTAATTCATTCTTCTCCATCCAGACATTTAAACCGATTTTTGTTTTGAGAATAATAATAATAAAAAAATACAAGGTATTTGTTTATTTAATTGTGTGTGGGGTTTTTTTTTGGTTTCTTTTTAAGAGAAAGAGGGAAACATCGAGTTGTTGTTCCACTTATTTATGCATTCATTGGTTGCTTCTTGTATGTGCCCTGACCAGGGATGGGACCCACAACCTTGGCTTATCAGGATGATGCTCTAACCAACTGAGCTACCTGCCAGGACTTGTTTTGACAAATTTAAAAGACAGAAAAATGCAAAGAATAACATAACACTTAAATTTTCACTACCAAAATATTTAATATTTTTTTATCTTGTGTTTCTTATCTATTTTTAAAAGAAATAAACGATTTCACATATAAGTAAAGTCCCCTCTAACCACCATGCTGAGTCCCATCTCCCAAGCCCTGACCCTTCAACACCCCCAACCCAAATATTCCTGTTTATAATTCTAATATCCTTTTATATTTCTGCAAAGGTGAATACCTCCATAAATAATACAGTATGATTTTTGTATATATGTTCTTCCTTCAGAAGGTATTTATTTGTTCACCAGCTATGTTCAAGATGCAGCTATGAATATAGCAAGAAACCTGCTCTGAGTGGAAGGAGACAAGTAATTTGAAAATCAATCAATTCAGAGATCAATCAACTGAAAAGGCCAAGTATCTGATAGCTATAAGTGCAATGAGTTTTTATTACATACATGATATTCTATATGAATTGTTCTATAATTATTTTTCCACACAGGTATCAGGCTTGTATTTGTAAGTTTTTAGTTTTTTTAGATATATTTTTATCTCTATTCTAGAAACTTGGCATTAAGTATTTCCTATAGAGAGTGATTAAATTAGCTTTGATGATTTTTTTTTACATTCATAGTCTCTTTAATTTATTAATTTAATTCCTAATTAAGAATGTCCTGTATCATCTAAATGTTTAGATTATTTATTCTATACAATACACTGTGCTGAGAACTCTGGGATAATCAAAGGTAAAGGGACTTACATTATAGTAGCAGAGGTAATATATGGAAATTATAAATCAATAATGATAGTCATAATAGTAACAACTACTAATTACCAAGTCTTTACTCCAAGTTCAAGTGCTTTATATTCCTCATCTCATAGAAATAGGCATTTTTTACCTACTTTTTTTTTTTTTTGACAAGGGGAGTGAGAGTCAGTGAGCCTCATTTATTTAGTTCCAAAATATTTATAATTGTGTTGAGCCTGGTTGCTGTGCTGGATACAAAGAATATAAATAAATAAATATATGATTATCTGAATATAATTTCTGATTTTAAGAAGTTTACAGTACAAGAACAAGTAACAATGCATTTGTGTCTATAAAGCTAGAGTGATGTTTCCCCCTACCACACCCCAACACCAACTCAAGCGCCACTTGCCCAGTGAAGCCTCCTTAATCCCCAGACAAGGTCAGATTCACTTATTCTACGATTTCCTGATGCTACATACCTTCACTTCACAGCACTCATCTCAGTTTATAATTATACCTTTAGATGCATCATTATTAGTCAAATTGTAACCTCCATAAAAGCAGGAATTATATGGAGTTTCTTTTACCACTGTAATCAATGCGATGTAATCAGCACACTATAGGTACTCAAGAAATATTTTTGTCTGCACAGAAGAAACAATATCAACAGACATCATATGTTGAAGGTATACATGTTTAGTTACTGTGCCAAGAACTTTATATACATCATTTCATTTAACCTTCATGAAATCCTATGAGGTAGGGATTACCATATTATTTTATAGAGGAAGATGAAGATCATATAAATGAAATTACCTACCTAAATACTACTGCTGCATAGTAGCAGAAGTTGAATGACTTCAAGTTCCTATATCTTACAATGCTGCAGTGCCTCAAGATAGCAAAAATAAAAAATATATAAAAATAAATATCTATATATATAAAAGCCAAGCGACTGGAACTGCGGAATGACCAGAACGACCTGAGCGACAGGTTGCTATGATGTTCACTGCAATGGCCAACCAGCCTGATGGGGGCCCCGATCACCCCCCTCACCCCCCAACCTCCTGCAGCCTCTCCCCCCAGTTGGCCTTGCCCCTGATCGGTCCCCCCTCTCTCCCCTCGGCTGGCCCCAGCCCCAATTGGCCTCCCCACCCCGATTGGGGGCAAGGCCACCAGCCAACCTCCCATGCCCACCCCACTGACCCGGCCCCAATCAGCCCCAATCAAGGTGAGCCAGCTGGACCCCACCCATGCACAAATTCGTGCACCGGGCCTCTAGTATTTATATATACACGTATATACATATATAATACATATACATGAATGTATGTACACACACACATACACACACACACATAATATAAAATCAGGGTTAAACACCTGATTCATCCACTAGTTTGTTCCTTCTCTGGTTCCCACAGCCCATAATCCAAGGCTGTCTTAAGGCACTTATGCCAGTGAGGATGCTTTCAACTCAAGTACCAGAAAACA